TGTTTCTCCAGGAAATAAGACCAACCAGAATCCTGAAGAAGCTGTACTAAAAATGTATTATGTGAAAGGAGTGATGCTGAGAATCACCAAGTGACAGGGACAAACTGTATTGGATGCTGTGGTGTTCCACCCAGGTGACCCTGCTTCAGGCCGAGGCATTCATCCCATTCTCCCAGTTAAAGGAGATACCTTTCCATCTTTAGGACTTGCCCTAAGCCTAAAAGAGTCACCTCACCCAGACAGCCCACATCCAGTGATGGGTCACGGTCGGGCAACTCTGAGTTCAACTCCTCCCTCTGCGCCATCCCAGAGCCTTGGGACCAGAGTGACCAAAGTATCACAGTATCACATTACTGCCCCTACTGGGGCTCTGACCAGGCCCAAGGTCTGGGGAGCAGTGGCAGTAGCAAAACCACCCTAAAGGTGAGAACTGAGTGACTTAGCCACCTGGGGTCTGCAGCAAGGAGCACTGGTTCTGAGCCCGCAGCCCCCTGTTCCTTTTTTAAATGTTTATTTAATTAAGTTTATTGAAATATCATTGGTTAATAACATTGTATGTTTCAGGAGTACAATTCTTTAATACAATGCCAGTATTATAGAATATCTGCTCACCACTCAGAGTCTAGTCTCTTTCCGTTACCCTCTTCATCCTCCCCACCCCCCTTTCCCTCCAATAACCATTATACTGCATTATTGACATGCAAGAAGCTGTACATGTTTAATATATACAACTGGATGAGTTTGAAGATAAGTATATACCTGTGAAACCACCACCACAATCTATGCCATAAAAATATCTATCATCTCCCATCCTATTATTTTTTGTGATAAGAACACAACATACTATCTATCCTCTTTGCAAAATATTAGGTATACAATATAGTATTATTAACTATAGGCACTGTGTTGTACAGTACATCTCTAGGATTCATGCATCTCGCATAACAGAAACTTTGTACCCTTTGACTAATCTCATCCCATTTCCCTCCTCAGATGTATCTGAAGGACCTTATGCTAAGTGAAATAAACCAGGCACAGAAGGGCCAATATTACATGATGCCACTCTTATGAGGAATCTAAAATAGTCAAACTCATAGAAGCAGAGTAGAATGGCGGTTGCCCTTGTCCCCTGTCTTGATACTCAGCCAAGGTCAGGAAGGAAAGCCAGGCTTCCAGCACCTATGTTGGCAGGGACTCCACGGGAGGCTTAATTTCTTTGTCCTTGTTATATTACCCTCTCCACACCTCCCGGGTCCTCCTGGGGCTAATGGCAGAAGATCCCACTGTTTTATATGGACAAACACACAGACAGGCAAACAACCAAGCCTGCCTGTCCAGTGCATGGATCCTCACCATCAAACTCCCCTTCCTTGTCCCTAACCGTGCAGGGTCTCCTGAAAGCTGAGCCCAGGATGCACACATTTGCAGATCAGTAAATGTTTAAACTGATAACAAAGCCCCAGGTATTCTTCATCATTTTTAGACTCTGTAACCCCTTTCACTATTCATATCTTAACTGCACCCCCATGGAGTGTTTTTAATCATTTTTGTCATCTTTGCATTACAAAAATGCTATTAAGTATACCTCTTTGAGATAGTGCATATTTTGAATACTGCCTATAAGTTCATTTTTAATTAATTTTCAACAATATTCATTACAAGAAAGAGTAGTTTTGACATGTTCCCACTTAATTAATGCTGCCTGCTGTTTAATTTACTTAATTACATATGAAAGTGTGTATGATTTACAGACAAGTAATTCATAATGATACCACATGTCTGTTAGACCCATAGGGCATCAAACATGTAGACTGAAGTTTGACTACGTGTTGTTGCATTAAAAACCGCTTTCAAGATCTATTGTTTAACTTTCAAAAAGCGCATTTATTCGTGTGACTTTTATATATGTCTCTAAATAAAACATAAGGTTTCAGATAGTAGTTTACAAGCATATCCCTATAGTTACCACAGTGCTGGGTTTAGATGCTTGGTTCCTTCAAAGATAAAAAGGCAAATTAGCCATAATCATGGCAGCATTTTTCCTTTGCCTATTGATTTGTAAATCACAAAGAACAACTCAGTGTTGAAAAAAAAGTGATTGAATAAATGTAAGATCTGGGGAAAATTCTTAAGAGATACATTTACAGAATAAGCAAGCAGCCTGTCTCTCCGCATTCACTGAATACAGCTTGACATTAAGCAACACGTGCTAGATCAGTCCACTGGCCCCCTGGATCCACCTCCCATCTTTCTCTACACCATGTCCTATTGTAAAAGTGACTTTTATGGATCGTCTTGACAGTGTCCCTTGTGATCTTGTTTCTACTGGGTTTGGCCACTAGAGAGTGGAGGTGACTAAAGCTGGAATATTTATTCCCCAGCTGGTGGGTCACCCGGGGCTGGTTAAGTCTCACACCCCCTGTGAGACTTGGGTGTCTCTACACTCTGCTCACACATTTTAAATATTCTCTTTATTAAACATTCATCTAACTACACAATTTGAGTGTAAATATGCCTTCTCTTTTCTGCCTGGACCCTGTCTCTTACATAATGTAGGGCTATGAATGAAAACAATGTGAAACTACATAATGGTCATAAACATGGCCGCCTGTGATAGTCAGCAAATATTAAAGCGACTGAGCAATGGGATCATGAGCTCTCTCATTGAATATCCACTAAATGCCACACACATGCAGCCAAACACATATTCAGGGCTGAAGAGAAAATCAGTCCAAATATGTACTTTATTGATGATTTTAAAAGTAGACATTGAAACCCCAGATATTCCTTAACCATAAACACTCCCTAAGTTTTGCTAAGTAAAATGATTATTTTCACCCCATCCCAATGGGTAAATTAGAGAACAATATGTATAGTTCTGTGTGTAGTGTGTATGGGAAATTGTTTAAAAATCTCTGGATATGTAAGAAAGTACAACTCTACCAATGAAAATTATGCATCGCACAAAAGTTTGAAATGAATTTTCAATCACTCCATCTGTAGATGCAAGTAGAGCTACTAACTTTCCTCTGATCCAGGGTTCAAGCCAGAATCCAGAGAAGGTTTAATCATTATCCACCAAGGAGATACAGGTCTCAGACAATCCCATGTCGTAATTGCTTAAGTCTCTGGGAACTCACGAGCAGCTGGGTCATACACACAGGAGGTAAATATCACAGTACTAGATGAGGGGAACACACTGTGAGGAGCTGGGATGGCTGACTTCCCCACGGAGAGCTGGGAGCGCTCCAGATGGTAGCCTGAGAACACGGGGCAGCAACTCAGAGCCCAGGGAGTCCAGTTCCTCCCGCCCAGTGGACCATGCCAACAGAAGACACAGCCAGAGAAGGGTGTAACATGACACCAGGGAATACTCACCACAAAATATATAACGTTCATTGATTTTTCTTTTGATAAAATCCCTCCACCTCTATTACAGTTTATCATGTGTTGAGGTGGAGGCAGTTACTAGGCTGTCAAGAGAAGGTATTTTTCCAAAGTGAAGGACCTGTTCATCCAGATCCTTCCTACTCTTCGCACCTCCCATCTCAAAAGTGGCTGTGCCTATCTGTTTCTTCTCTCTTTTATACACCCCCTTCCCAACACACACACACACACACACACACACACACACACACACACACACACTTTTGTGGGAAAGTTGTAGAAAGTCTGCAATGCCCTAAGTAAGGGTAAACCTACAAGCGCAGTGCCACACCAGAAAGGAAAGGGGTAGATGGACCCAAGGAAGCAAGGCCACAGAAGAGTGGAGGGCTGAGCAACTTGTCCACGGCCATGTAAATGGCTGGTAAGATTCAGTCCACTCCCCCTTCCTCCTCATCTTCTTTTCACCTGCCCCACCTTTCAATCTATTTCATCCGTCCTCTTTACAGGCTAGAAAGGAAGTACCTGAGAATCACTGGGTTAAACTGGAGAAGATGATACTAGTTAGAATGGGGGGCCATAGCCTTGAGGGTAAGGTGTGTAGCCTTGCAAAGCACAAGGGGGTAACCAATGGCAACAAAATAATGTTTTCTTCCCAAGCACTGTGCAATCAGCAAAATCAATAAAACCTTTTCCAAGTCTCACTCACTCTCAACCCCCCTACCTCAGGCAGCCAGTAGTTCCTTGTATCCCTCTATTGTCAAAATGCCATACTGGTCAGCTCACCACAGTGCCTGACCCAAAGGAGTCACATGGATAAATAAACAAATTGGAAATTGTTAATTGATGAGGAATATATTCTCCCAAATTATATTGCTCTCTACCAAATCAAAACGTCCCTTTACTGAGTCCAGCTTACTACCAATGTAAGCTGGACTCAGTAAAAAAACAATCTTTGTAGCATGATTCACCACAAGTTTAACCTTCCCATACAGGCCTTTCGTTCCTAAAATGAGTCTTTGTACATTGCAAAAAAAAAAAAAAATTCCATAACCCAAATCTGTTGGGTTCAGTAGCATGTAGAATTCATGGAGTTTCATAGCATGCCAGTCATACTAAAAGAAACAGTAGACATAAATAATACATATGAGAAGGGTATCCAGTAACTGGATAATATCCTAAGGTAGCAATACATTTCTTGCTTCATGCTATGTTTCTGCTCGGCTGCAATACTATATCAACAAAAGTAGTGTTATTTAACACACCATTGACTTTCTGTTGCTGATCAAAGATGTATGGTGGGTCAGCAGTCTTCAGAAGGGGGTTTTAACAAAATAGAAAGTGTTTTCGAAACTATTAACAATGAAATTCACCACGAAAGTATATCCATCTCTCTTAAAATTTGCTAATTCCTTGTATTAAGACCTCTGACTCTTGCAGTGAGTTCTAGAACAACTAAGATACCTCTTTAAGGAAAGGGGACTTGGAGAAATAAGGCCTTTTGGAGGGAGGTGGCATACTGAGCACTGGATTTGGGTGATGGGACTCATCTACCTCGGGTGCTTGCAAAGGCCTGAGGAGCCTCCTGCTGTGGCCGTGGGTGCCCAGCCCCTTACCTTACCACACTGCTTACACTTTCCCTCCTGCCGACGCCTGTGCACCCAGTGATGACGCACAAAATTCTGTGGAAAAACAAAATAAAAGAAATCGATTTAAATTTGCAAAACCAATATTAGGGTTCTTGTTTTAAGGATACAGATTTCTGTACACCATCATCTAAGACCACATTAACACAAAAACAAGTAGGTGTATGTGTGATTTGCATAACAATAAATATGAATCCATTCAGAAAAATTAAGCTAACTCTCCTTCCCAGCCATGCATCCTGTCCCTCCTCCACGTCTTGCTAGTGACAAATGGCCACACCAGGTCACTGTTACTCTCCTCTCCTCCTAGTAAAACCCTGTGCAATCGTGAGCATGCCACGGGACCTTGGGCTGGGAGGTAACTGAGGCAGGTCAAAGAAATATCCTGAGAGAAGCGGGAACAACCATGTCCAATATTTTTTTAACAAATATGTATTTAATGCTTCTTTATATGCCAAGCAGGCACCATACTAAACATTTGAGCTAGAAAGCACTTAAAAAAATTAGATTCTCAGACAGAAATAGATCTCCTGACTCAGGACACAAATGGTGGGAATCTGTTACTAGTGAAAGTGAAGGAAGAGAAAAGCTGAAGGACAAGAGATGTGAGCACGTCGTGAGTTTTTGCAATGACCTTGAGTTTAAACTGTCCTTGAGACCTCTGAACTAGATCAGCTTTCAAGCTCTATTCTTGTCTTGGGTTGTGGGAAACACGGAAAGTCCCTTCCCTCCCAAACAGATAAGTACTCCTGGGGCAGAGAGGTCAAGGAGCATCCATCACCACTGCTCTTAGGATACATCATAACAAAGTTGTCTTCAGGCCTAATTCATGGTGCAGGTGAACCCTAAAAGCTTATATAATTGACTCTCCTTGAGCCAATACATCTAATATACTTGTGAATGTCTTTTCTCCTGCCCTTTTCTGAAAAAATATACTCTATCTGAGATTAACATGTCTGTTGGTTATCAGGCCACAGCCCATGCTTTCCCTTTAAAAGGCCTTTTAATGTAGACTCGGTCATTCGGCAAACACTAAATACCTACTGTCTGCCAAGCACTGTTCTAAGTACAGAGGAACACAGAAAATAGATCAGTGTTGAGGAAAAATGAGTTGTATTAAGGCAGAAAATCCAGAGTGACAAAAATACCCCTAAAGAGCACTGACATTATCAATTCCAAAATGCCACTTCTATTTCTCTATATAATGCCAAATCCATTTAAATTAAAACTCAACAAAGATCCTGGGGGAGTAATAGTCTTTTAACTATAATAAGAAACAATGAAACATAATGGTCCCACTAATTAGTCTAATTTTGGTCTTGCTTTTCCCACAGCAGCAGTTTAATAAAACACAAACATAATTCATATATATATATATATATATATATGTACTCAGAAAGAAGCTAATAATAATAGCTAACATTTGTTGAGAACTGTGTGCCAAGTACTTTTTAAAACATTTCACACGTGATCATTTTCATTTTCATGAAGACAGCCGAGGTGTTGTTGAGTGGGTATGTGCCAGTAAAATCCTATGAGCTGTTGAAATACTGAAATATGTCTATGTTGGTGGGTAGGCTGTAACTTAGTGCCCCTAGCATCCCCCAGCTCCTCCTCAACTGCCATAGCAACCCACCACCCCACCCTCTCACAACGCAGACCACTTCTACTTCCTCATTATTAAGCAACTAAAATGTTAACATTTTGCGCAGCAGGTCTCCAAGATTCAATCCCAATGGGCTCTCTTTCAAAAACAAATCACGTTGCCTGGGCCATGCCCTTGGATTTCCCCAGGAAACTCAGACGTCTGGGCTGTGCCCAATGTGGTTGTCTGTGCAAGCTTAAATATCAATATAGGCAATTCTGGGCCCTATGGCCTTCAGGACAACGGCAGCAAGTCCAGGAACCTGTCTAGTTATCAGTGTCCACAGCATCAGTTCAGTGCAAACACTACTGGGGACGAAAGTACTGAACTCGCCACCTCTGCTCCCCAGGTGAGGCAGACATCCTCAGGCTTCCACCTGCTTAAGTGAGAAGAACGTTAGCCTACTGCCTGTTAAGGGTAAAGGCCGGGGGAGACAAGGGCCAGCTGCCAATGGTGCTACATCCTAATTCACAATATTGCAGGGCACATTATCAGGGGGTTGTACCTGAATTATCATATGATCCTCACCTAACAGATGAGGAAACTAGAGCAGAGAGTAGTTACTTAAAATGTAAGGGTCAGAGCAAGGCTGCAATCCCAGGCAGGCTGACCCAGAGCCTATGCTCTGAAACACAGGGTCATGGCACCTCTCCTTTGCTCTGGAAGATCAGGTTCAAGCTCCAGGAAATGACTTCAGTGACATTTGGAAATATTGGAAATACTGAGTATATTAAACAGTGGAAATACTGAATATATTAAAATGCCAGACAGAATTACAAGGGATATAGAAATTTATTATAACTGCTATTAGTTTAGCAGAAACAAGGGAGAATGAACAATATCATTGATGGTAAGAGAAATTCTCTACTTGTTGTGATTATAAACCACCTACTGACTATCCATTGAAGAGGAAAACACTGGAAGAATTTGACAATTACCCATGTGAAATCATGGCTAACTCTTGGGAATATTTAGCTGCTGACAGCTCTAATCAAAAGATTAAACCAGCAATTTCCACAAATCAATAATTATTTGCAAATTATAAGACTGACTTATCTGTGTGACAATGTCTATTGTTTGGTAATCTGATATATAATATCATGTAGTTTAGTTTATTTAGGGGATAAGCGAGGGCATTTTAAAATTATTTAAATATTAACATATATAACTGCATGTTGTTAAATATTTTTAATATCATCCTCCCTAGGAAATAGGTAGGCAACTAAAAAAAAAAAATAAAGACACAGTAAGATAAAGTAATTTAAGCAAAAGTACTGAAGGGGATAATACCAGTTATTATACTAAATATATAGTATAACATACTATGTATACTAAAGAAGAAACTGAATAACTTCCCCCTGTCTATGACTCTATAATTTGAGATGTCAACATCCTTCTATTCAGAGGTCTCGCTGGGCCTAATATAAATTTCTTTTACCACCAATTAAACATAATTTGAACAAAGTAAACATCCAATAAATATGTTTTGAGTTGAATGAAATTCTCAACCTCATTTCTTTGGCAATTCAATTATGTAATTACCATTATGAAGGATCACCAATTGCCTTTATCAATTAGAAAAAGAATTCTACAGAATCACTGCTGTTTTCTAATACGTATTTTCCAAGAACTTTAATTTTTCACACTACTCCTTTTTGACACCTATTATCTCCTAAATTAATAAACTGAAATTAGACTCAGGATCCTTCCACTGCAAATATGAGTGTTGATACACTGTTAAGAAGATAGCAAAAAAAAAAAAGCTTCTGACACCATAACCACTTTTTATAGTTCATCAATAAACTCTGAATTATTCATATACTGTCTTTAAACACTGGGTATAGAAAGGGCTATTACTTATGGGTGTTAAAATCACAGTGACACAGTATTTCAGGATTTATATTCAGTATTGTAAGCAGAAATGCATAACACAATTGCTCAGTTATTTTCACATAGCCAATGCAATTCATAATATTATTCACAGAGCACTTTGAAGGATCTTAAAATTATAAGCCAATACATATAGCTTATGTCTAAGAAAACTGAGGTCCACAAAATTTCAACTTAGAGCTGTCCAACCATCACTCATGAAAAAACTTCTGTGTCATATACTCTGCAAGCAAAGGGCACAGTGACTATCAATCCCTGCCCTGGATCCCTGCCCTGAATCCCTGCTCTAACCACTGAGTACAAAAGAGGAAGAGGTGTCATTCACATTCTAAAGTGACTGTTCTTTTATTTACATTAAGTAAACTACCTAAGTTCTCTTAATTAAGAATCTCAAAGGGGTCATAGTCTCTTATAAGTTTCATCTTCCCATTGTCCTCTTAGACCAAGAGACTGTGAACATTTGGGGGAGAAATGGACACCTTTATGAAAGCATTCCGTCAACAGATATTGGTTGATCACATCCTCCGTGTCCTGGCATGATGAGTTTGGGACACAGTCCATGAGTGACCTCCCAAAGCTTATACTACAGAAAGACGACAGCAGACAAGTGATTAATACATATAAATACTTGTGACACATAACGTGCTCTGAATGGGGCAGAACAAGGTGCTCTGATAAAGAACAGGGTGCGGCCTGTGCAGAGGTGGTCATTAAGGAAGACACTGAGATGATATTTGAGCTGAGGCCTAACTATAAGAAACAGCTGGCCATGCAAAGAGATGTTCAGTACAGCAATGCCATGCACAAACATCTGAATATGGAGACTAGCTGGACATGCACCTCAAGAACTGAAAGGAAGTCCTTGTGGGAGATGGGTGGGTGCGGGAAACTACTGGAGAATTTTAGGCTGAAAAAATGATATAACCCAATTTTCATTTTAAATAATCACTCTCTTATATCATGGTAGATTGAAGGAGAAAATGAAGGAATTATGGAGAAGCGACTGCAGTGGTCAAAGTCAGAAATGGGGGTAAAGAGATGGTTTGCAATACATTTTATAAAGAAAATTGATAGGGCTGGCAAGTGAAACAGATGTGAGTCCATAAGAGAAGAAATCAATATGACCAGTCTTCTCGATTGAACAGCTGGATCAATAACCATCTCATTTTCTGAGGCATAAAAGAATTTTTTAAAAATCGTTTTTAAGATGATGGAAATGAGCTTAGTTTTTATGCATTGTATCTGATATGATTGTGATGCATTCAATGGGCATGTCAAATGGAACATGTAGTGTGGAGTAGACATGCAAAGCCAGGAATTGTCAGCCCAGAAGTGATATTTAAAGCCATGAGATTGGGTGAGCTCTTCCAACAAAAGTGGGCAGAGAGAAAACATGGCCAAGTACCAGCCCCAGAGGAAAAGGCAGAAATCAGGGGGAGTGAGCAATGAAAGGGAGTGGGAAGGACAACCCAGTGAAATAGAGGACAGTTAGGAAAGATGTCAAGACAGGAGAGCATTTCAAAAATAATGGAACATTGAACATTTTGAATACATTTGAAGGATTGAATAACAAAAGAACAGAAAAATATCTAATGGGTTTGGCATCAGTGAGATGTTGGCAACATTCAAAGAGCAATTTCAGTGAATTGAATTTCACAGAGTGAAAACCAGATCAGAACAGGTTAAAATGACTAGGAGGGGACATACTGTTTATGTATAACACACTTTCTGGAAGTTAGCCATGAGCACAAAACTGAGAATCAGAGTTGTGGATACAGTTGGTGGTTAAGGAATATTTTCATTGGTTTTAATGAAATGGGGTTTATTAGAGCATGTTTATGCTGATAAAAATAATCTGGAAGAAGGGGTGAAAATGAGGAAAGGAATAAACATCAAGTCCTTGCTAAGAAGATGAGAGAAGGTTTCCAAAACACTCATGGAGATCTGACTTCGCAGAAGAGAAGGGACACAGTTAGTGAAAACTAAAAACAAACAAAAAATACATGTATTAGAAAACTGCACATACAATAAGAATTATCTATGCAGAAAAAAAGAGAGAGATTAAAGAACAGAGAGCTAAAGGTAAACATATGAATCCCTGGTTTTTAAGGTAGAGTTTATGAATTCTAAGACAGAATAAACCAGTTAATTCATAAACTCTACCTTAAAAACACACAACTATTCCTTCTACTATCCTTTCATTCTATGAAATTTATCCTTCATTTGCGTTGTCATCAAGTTACCTCCTGGTCAATGCTACAGTGCACGTGGGTGGCACAATCCATCATTTTCCGTAGACTTTCCTCAACCTATATATCACCCATAGCCTGGAGCTACAGTATCCCAGATAACCGTTGTCATCAAGTTACCTCCTGGTCAATGCTACAGTGCACGTGGGTGGCACAATCCATCATTTTCCGTAGACTTTCCTCAACCTATGTATGACCCATAGCCTGGAGCTACACTATCCCAGATAACACAGGAAGGCTGACTGCCTCCACCAACATTCTTGTCTTCTCTAACTACATACACTGCTCCATCGCCTCTAAATAAAAGCTGAACAAATATATCTGAGTGCAGCTCTCATCCTATCCTCACTTCTGCTTACTGCTAACATGCAGTACTGCTCTTCTCTATAATTTCCTATTTACCTGTTTGTCTCCACTACCAGACTGAAAGGTCAGGGACTGGGCCCTGGATGATGGCTTTGCTAGCACATACGCACTCTTTTGTTATTGCCTGAGCAGCCACATTTTCGAAGAATAATGGTCCGATGATGCCTCCAGCCCCAAATCCGCACCAAACAGTGACACGTTGTGGTTGCATTTGTTTCTTAACAATCACTCATGGATTTTCTGAACACCGAATGCAACAATTTTGTCAATTAACTAAGACCTTCCTTCCTTCCTTCCTTTCTTCCTTCCTTCTTCCCACCCTCTCTCCCTTCCTTTCTATCTATCTATCTATCTTTCACCTATCTCCCTATCTATTTAGCCATCTATCTATCATCTATCTATCCATCCATCTATCCATCCATCTGTCTGACTATCTATCTATCTATTATCTATCTATCTATCTATCTATCTATCTATCTATCTATTATATATCATCTACCCATACATCTATCCATCCATCTATCTGTCTGTCTTCCTATCTATCTATCTATCTATCTATCTATCTATCTATCTCTGTATCTCCCTATTTATCTCTTTATTGATCCATCTATCTACTTACTTATTCATTTAACAGATGAAAACACTGAGATTTTGAAAGATTAGATGAGATGTCCAAAATCACACAGCATCAAGGCTGATTTTGAATCTAGACAGTCTGACTCCATTGTTTATAGGAATTATCAGTAGCTATACTGCCCCCAAGGAGCTTCTACCCATTCAAAATTGAAAAATCAAATTAAAATGGACCTAAAGACAATAAAATGCCATTGCTTTCTTACCTTTTCAATTCTATCACTGCACCCTCCCCTACTCTCAGGTGCATTCAGTAAGACTTTAGCTCTCTGCACATTCTGTGAGAAGAAACCTGGGGATTTTTATTCACTGTATTTATTGATGTATCAATAAAAAGCTGATGTAAAATGAAGGGAGATACAATTTTTGTTTTAATTTTTTAAGTATTTTTTATTGATTTTTAGAGAGAGAAGGGAGAGGGAAAGAGAGATAGAAACATTTATAAGACAGAAACATCATTGATCAACTGCCTCCTGCATGTCCCCTTCTGGGGATCGAGCCCACAACCTTGGCATGTGCCCTGACAGGGAATCAAACCGTGACCTCTTGGTTCCTGGGTTGAACCCAACCACTGAGCAACACCAGCCTGGCGATACACTTTATTTTTAATACCTGGTGAATATCTTTAAGTCCAGTTAATCAATGGGAAATTAAAGCCAGTATTTGAAATAGAGCTCTGAAATACTCACTTCTCTTGGTGATCTGGAGCCCCCTTCTCGAAATGTTGGTTTACATCTGAAATTAATCTGCCATTTAAAAAGAGAAGTGTATTACATTAGGGATAGGCATCATATTGGAATGAGTTACCTGAATAAACCAACATGTGACAGATATTGAGACGACAAAACAAGCCCCTCAAAGAATGAAGAACAAAGTTTAACACTATTTTTAGTCTTTTGAAATAATCACCTTAGATAATCTACAGAAATCCCAAGTGATTCTATACCTCCAATCCATGCCTCTTCATTCTCACTGATGAAATCAACATATCTTTAAACAATAAAGATAATAAAGAAACGGAGATAATAAAGAGTCAGGGGAAAATATAAGGCAGCTGAAATCATCCATCTGCATTTCAGATTTTAAAAGTAGGAAAATACAAACTTGGTAAATTTTTAATACGATAATGATGATACACGCACACCAAAAAAATAGCCTTTATTGAAGTATTCAGTAGTAGACAGGGAGGTCTCCTGGTCATTTACAGGCGGAAGGAGCATAGAAATGAAAGAGGAAAAGAGTTGGGACATGAGATAAAATATTTAGTAGTCATTCCCACAAAATATCAGTTGGCAACAATTGGCAATGTGTCTTTAAAGCTCAATGAATGTCACAGCAGATTAAAATAATTCAACACATTTACCCATGGCAGCTCAAGAACATAGATAAAGCAGAGAGTCACACGCGGAAATGGAGAAGGAGGCACGAGAGGGGAGAGGACAGCAGACAGCTCTCTACTGGGGCCTCTCCCTCCCCCCAGATGACAGATAAATGGACTATGCAGACTCCACTGACTCTGGATGCCACTTCCAGCCCCTCCCACATATGAACCTGTGAGTAGGAACACCGCTCACCGGGAGCAAGGAACTCAGAATTGCTTTCTGGCTTGGTCCTCTCCCTTGCCGGCACTTTATAGGAAGACATAAACTCACAGAGGTCAGGCGTATGTAAACATTGAAGAGTTTATGGAATTTTTTTTTCTTTAAGAGAAAACATCTTGTGGGAGGTTCTATGGGCGACTAACAATGCTTGCTGTTGTGAAGAATATCACGCCTACCAGGCTTTTCTCTCACCTTATCATTCCTTCTCCTGAGTCAACATAAAATGATATGAAATTATGCTTCAGAAAACAACAGAGCGAATGAACCTTAAGCACTATCTTTCCATTTTTAATCTGGTAAAAATGTTGGACTTCCAGTTTCCTAAAAGGGGGTTGTTTTCAAGAAGTTGGCAAAAGAAATTGACACCTGGTCTCAGAAGTCCCAACACTTGCAAGGTATCAGAATTTGCAGCAGGTGGCGCTGTCTCACCTTTTCTAGCTGTTCGATGCAGGCGGTGTGGACCACGATTTTACAGACTGCACACTTCCTCCTGAGGGCAGATTTCTACAACATTCAATTCAAAATACAAAAAGAAATGTTAGCATTCTGTTCTAAAGAGAGTATATGCAAATAAAGCAAACACTGCAATTGTTTATATTACTAAGCAATATAAGGTGAAATTTAAATTTTCACTGTAATCATTCAATAATATGGCTAACTTCATCAACAATGCTTGGATCCACCAAGTAGCTCCATATCCCCATGACTTAGGGTGGCCTAGATTTTCCCTTCAAAACATAATAATTATACTAGCTACTATATACTGAGTATATAATATAAACCAAGCTCTTTATTCTAAATTTCATAACCTAAAAAATGTAGACATTATTATCCTTTTATTTCCTTATATTTTTACTCCAGTACATAAGGGGCAAGACCAACCAACATTTAAAGTTAGGTGTAATTTCAAACCAAGCATTCTTTCCCTGCTGCCAAAGAGTCTGCATTTCAAGAGGTCAATCCATTTAGGCTTCTATCCCAGGCACGAATTTATACTAAGCTACTTGGGTTTCTGCCCAAATGTTCAGGAAAGCAAGGAGATAAGTCTAACTTTTACACCCAATAATAATAACAATAATAGTTATAATAACAGTAACAGCAGCTTACATGGATTTAATACTTACTATCTGCCATGGGCTCTTGTAAGCACTTCACAATTAGTAACTCATTTAATCCTCACAACCCTAAGGACTAGGTACTGTTCTCACTCCCATTTTACAGATGAGAACACTGAGACACCATAAGTGATATGCCCAGGGTCACACAGTTTGGGTCCACAGAGCCAGGTAGTCTGACTCCAGAGCTCCTGCTTATAAGCATTACACAATTTGACCTGACAGTCAATACCAGCTTAAATTCGCAATAAAAATACTTGTTGAGGTGTATCTTTTCTCTAACAATAAAAAAAAAAGGAGACACCATAAGTGATATGCCCAGGGTCACACAGTTTGGGTCCACAGAGCCAGGTAGTCTGACTCCAGAGCTCCTGCTTATAAGCATTACACAATTTGACCTGGCAATCAATACCAGTTTAAATTCGCAATAAAAATACTTGTTGATAGCTAAGATTTGGAAACAGCCTAACTCCAGGCCTCTTTCCAGAGCACAGATGAGAAGGCGGCTCTACATAAATGATTCTGGGGTTTGGGAACCGAAAGGAACTTATTGTAACAAAGCCCGTCTGTGAAATAGTCTATCAATGCTTCCCAGTGAGAAAGGCCCTGCTCCCCACCCTTAAGGGCGGTGCTAGTGTAGGTTGCCACCAACTCCCCACTTCTGATGTGTGGCTTCCCGGTTGGTTGAGGTATTATTTTGGCGCCACCTGTGGCAGGGAGAGAGAAGGAACATAGAGAACAACATAGACTGATAAACAGGGACAGATCCAAAGACAGAGAAACAGCGATCAGACTATCACTCCCCAGAGGGAAAGTAGGGGAGGGAGGGGGTAAGGGGAAGAGATCAAGCAAAGGACTTGTATGCATGCAAGCAGCAGAGAGAGAGAGAAATGGGTGGAATCCGGATTTACTCCTGCCAGTGCCAGTGCCATGTAAAGTCTAAGCTAGGAATGCTCAGGCCTCTTTCCAGAGCACAGATGAGAAGGCGGCTCTGCATAAATGATTCTGTAGTTTGGGGACCGAAAGGAACTTATTATAACAAAGCCTACCTGTGAAATAGTCTATCAATGCTTCCCCAGTGAGAAAGGCCCTGCTCCCCACCCTTCAGGGCGGTGCTAGTGTAGGTTGCCACCAACTCCCCACTTCTGATGTGTGGCTTCCCGGTTGGTTGAGGTATTATTTTGGCGCCACCTGTGGCAGGGAGAGAGAAGGAACAGATAGCTCCTGCCAAGGAGAGGACCAAACAACCACCTTGGAAGGGGGCAGTCTCAGAAAAGAAACTGTAGCCTCCTGCCTCCCTGGTGGCGCTTCTCATGGAACAGAGGCCATCCACAGTGTCATCAGCCACCAACCAAGGACCCGGAACACTGCCGTACTGCAGCGACTAAACTCCCAGTCCACAGTCTGCACCCCGCTGACCGAGGTTTAGTTAACCTGCTTGTGGTGCAGTAATTTCTCCTGGCCTTCTTCTCCCCGAGAAAAGAAAGTAGGTAGTCGTCAATGTTAAATCAGTTTGACCATCAATTGATTTTGCTAATAACAAAAGACAAGAAACACTCAAGCATCTAGCTACACTACTGAAAGGTGTCTGGGCTCTACCACTAAAAAAGAAAGGGGGGTAGGGGGAAGAAGAACAAGAATAAGTAGTAGTAATAGTAATAGTAATAATAGCAGTACTAGCAGCAACAGCAGTTGTAACAGCAGTAGCAGCATCATTCACGGCAACAATAATAAAATTCTAGTTTGCAAACTTTCATGAGTGGAGTGCCCATAAGGAAATGACTGTTGCTCCCCTGTTTCCTCTGGCTCTCCTGGTGCGGATTGCTGTCACAGCACCACCTGCAGCAAATGCATGGGGTACTGGAGTCACATTGCTAATCAGAGTGACAGTGATGCTAAGCAAACTAGAATTGACTCCAGTCTGCTCATCAGCCACAAAACCCCTGGTAGATTACACTGCGGACAGCACAGTAGGCCACCACTGATGGGCTGTGATTTAAGGATGCCTGAAAAGCCTCCTTCCTTACCAATCACTCCTGCCCTGCTCTAGCTCTGTGCCTGACCTTGTGCTCGGCATTACGTTCTCTGGAGCTCCAGGGACTTGGTGAGGCTTCTATAAAGTCACTGAGGATGGTGAGAAGAGCACTGAGCAGGCTCAGGACCCACTGGCATCCACTGAAACCCGAACATCTCTTCCTTGCCTGTGTCCAATATCGGGCTTCCTATCCAGAAATTGTGAGTTATGGATCTGGGCTGGAAGAGTTTGAAAACTGCTGTGTTAACTTTTATCTGTCCACTTATTAATGTACTAGAGGGGGTCCCACGGCCTGGCCTGCGGGGATAGGTGGACCTCCGTGCCATCACAGCCTGGCCTTACCTGCCAGCCAGCTCATAGGGCTCCAGCCCACTGTCTGCATTGATTTTGCACAGCATGAAGTAGTGCTCGAGGCTGGGGAGGAGCCCTAGCCCAGGCTGGGCTCTGCACCTGCCAGGCACTTAGGGGGACTGTCCACAGGAGAGGCTCGCACAGTTGCAGCTGTGCTCGCCAGCTGTCAGCCCGGTGTCTGGCACCTGTCTGTCAGCTGAGCAGCACTCCCGCTGTGGGAGCACACTGCCCCCTGGTCAGTGCATGTCATAGCTACCATCCGGTCACTTAGGCTTTTATGTATATAGATTAGTAAATACACTAATATCATTCATATGGAACAACTCAAGTGCAATGTTCTACAGATGACAACATATGAAGTAAAGTGCCTTAAGTTGTAAAACTAATTGTATTTAAACAATATTGAATTGTTTTTTTAAAAAACCCTCATAAAATATATTATGTACTTCTGTGACCTTTAAGGCAGAATAAATAGTCCATCATCTGAATTTTTCTCCATAAACACTAATGCATTTTACTGCAATGGTCATTTTTCTCTTTCCTGTCCTTTTATCAAACTCGATATCCTTTCAATGTTGCTGTGACCGCCTTTGGCTGCCCTCAAATTCCTAACTGGCATTTTATAAACAGTTTATAACCTGAGAAACAGATAACTAAGGTTTATAATCATATGCAAAATTAAGTAAATACATTCTGAGTGAAGGTCTTAGGTTTTTCTCCCACTTAATAAAAAGCATGGATTTTAGTTCCTCAATTGAATTTAGTTCCTCTGGTGAATCAGAAGTCTTAACTGTTGACTTCCTTTCCTGGTTTATGACTGTATTTCAGCTGATCAAAGTCATTCAATGTAGCTGTGTAATAAGCTTCTAGGCAGAAATTGCTCAAAACATATAGAATTTTTGTGCTTGATTACGTTATAATTTTTAGTTGCAAGATAAAATACAGGAATCAAGACATCCTAAATACTGCAAGCACTCACTTTTTCATAGAAAGCTCTCATTTCAGCCAACCCTTCCTTCACTATGAAAAGTGATATATCAAGAAAAGTCTTTAAAATTAATTCAGCAAGTTGGTTTTTATCCTTCATATTGGGGCTTAGTTGTTATAGAACTTAGCACAAAAACATAATTTAAACAATAAATATGGCCTGGGACCCAAAAATGCTTAAAAATTAAAATTATAAAAATTTAATGATTTACCCTCACTGATGAATTTAAAGACCAATTAGGCTCAGTGCTTTAAATATCAAGTAAAGTAACCTGAGTGCCCTTACTAAGTGTTTCCTGATTTTGTCAAAGGAAATCCATTAGTTTGTAATCATGGGGGAGGGCACTTCTGTGACAACTACCAATATAGGATGTAATATAGATCATATCCTATCACATCATGACCAATCCTTACCTACATAATAATAATGAAATGACATGCCATGCTTTAGGATGGTGGGCAAACTAACTAGCAGACCTTACAGTGATTGTAAGAGAGAACATTCAAGTTCTGACTTGGCCCTACACGTTTCCCACGCTGTGGTCATCACTGGTTTCAAAGCAGTGACAGCTCCTCACCAACCTTCAGCGCATATCCAGCACGGGAGTAGGACCGGGGCCTTAGAGGCTGGGCCAAAAGGATCAGAAGCAAGCAGTGGTAGAAAGTAGATAACTGTCGCTGATAAAGAGTTTACTGTCTAATCCTCTCACCCACCCACTTCCTTTGGTCACAAGTCACTGATCCAAACGTACCACCAAAAAGGCTATTTTTTCTTTGTTTGAACAAGAGATGTGATTTTTGCTAAGTAGCAATGAGTATCTGATGGTAGTTAATGTGGTTTGTTTGTTAGAAAGAAAAAGAGAAAGGAGGGAGGAGAAGAGAAGAAGGGAAACCTAGATTCATAAACCTATGATTTGTGAAAGTATTTGGGCCTCCTTGCTGCCTAGGGTAACTGATGTTGATTGTCATCCCTAATGGTCTGAAGTTTGACCCCAAGAAGCATGTACAAGGCAGGC